ACACAAGACGAGCGTCGTTCGATTGAGAAAATTTCGCTTGAGTGAGATATTTTTGTTTAAGCAAAAATATACTCGAGACGAGTCATTTCCTTTTTTGCACATTTCATTTGAATGACCAATTGTTAATTGAGCAAAATCTGTAAATAACATATTGTGAAAAATACACCTTAAACTAGTTTTTAGGAATTAACTATCATTCTTTGAGATTTTATTACATAATTTTCTCATAAAACATGTAATATCTAGTCCAAATGTTGTTATATTATCCTAACATTTTATACATGTATTTTCCACATAATAAATTTAATTCAACTCATTTAATCACGTATAATTGTCAATAATATTAATTTATAATCAACTTCCTACAAATAAGACAATATGACCAAGTAATCATTATAATCTTGATCATCTATCTTAGGTTGCTAAAAAAATAATTACTAGTTTCCCTTACCTTAATTTCTCAACCTTTGATTCCAAAAATACTCAATCTCATAGGAAGTCAGATCTTGGTCATAGAAACTCTAATTAATAAATGAAGTATACCATAATATTTCTAAGCTAGTCAAGATTTATCTTTCCTGAAAAAATCCACATGCATGCACCCTTTAGCAAGTTTATATGTAAATGCTCTAAATTTAGCAAAGAGAAACCTACTCTATTTGAAATTTTGAAAAGGTAGAAATAGTCTTCTATACTTGAGAAACACTAAGACGTGCTTAGATCTAGAAAAAAATGAAAGAGAGCAGAAAATTTAGAGAGAATACACGTAAAGAGTTGTAGAGAGATAAAGATTATGTGATAATGAAGTTTAAATTGTTAAGATTTTCTATTTATAACCTTTTTTAACTTAACCAGTTGAAACTTTTAACTTTATTCTTTACTAAACCACTTTTACTCTTAACTTTCTTAAACTGGATCATCATACATATTAATATTACTTACTAAATTAAATTTTAGAAAATAAAGTTTATTTCATTTATTTTCTTTTTTCTTTTAAAAATTGAGTCTTTAATTTTATTTTTAGATATCTTTAAAACCCAAATTCATTTTTTTTATTTAATTCGAAATAGAGTATCATTAAACAACTAGTTAATTTATAACAAATAAACAAAAGTTATATCAATATTTCATATTTTTATATTATATTACACATGCTATTATGTTATAATAATAAATAAAAATAATAAAGAAAATAAATTTGTTTACTGATTTTTACTTTAAAATAAAATTATTGTGAGGTATCTCCTTTAATTTTTTTTTGTCTTATGCCTTCTTTAACAAAAGACAAAAAAAGCTAAAATACTAAAGAATAAAAAATTAAAATTTTTATCTTATAGAGATGAAATTATAATGAAAGCAAAATTTGAAAACTAATGAGAAAAAAATATTTTTTGTCTTATATGCCTTCTTGAACAAAAGACAAAAAAAATACTAAAGAAAAAAATTAAAATTTTTATGGTATAGAGATGAAATTATAATGAAAGGAAAATTTGAAAACTAATGAGAAAAATTTACAATTTTTATGTTGTAAGGTAAAAATGTGAAAGTGAACGAGTGATAAAAATAAAAGATAGAAATGTGAGAAAGCAAAATAAATGTATAACAGAAAAAGTTGATGGGAAAATGAAGGTGAGAAAAGAAAGATAAAAAATTGAAACTAAAAGGAAAAAAAGAGAAAAAATGTAGGTGAAAAAATTGTATAAAAAATAAATATAATATTTATTATAAATAAAGAATTAAGAGAAGAAAAAATAAAAAAAATTGAATCTTATTTATATTTATCAAATAATTTTTATTTAATATTTAGAAATAGTTATATCTATATTTTAAGTCTCTTCTATACTAGTGTTCATAATCACATTTATATGTCAGTTTCGTTGTCCTCCTTAATTTAAGTATTATATTAATAAGTTTAATTATTTTACTAAGTATTCTTTTGTGAGTAAAAATGGGAAAAGAGCCCCAACTAAAAATCTTATATACAAAAGTTATTCACTAATAAGGATAATGAAAGAAAATTAGGAATATCACAAAAAAATCCTTAAACTAACTTAGAGATTAAGAACATTTAGGATTGATTTACTATTCAAAATATATGAGATCACTTTAGAAAAACACTTTGGATTAAAAATATAAAATCCTCTATATCAAGTGGTATAAAGGAATGTAAAATCCTTCACAAACCTATAGCATCTATAGTAAATACTATTTTCATATTTATATGTACAATTAGCATTTTGTATAATATTAATGTTTATATTCATTAGGAATAAAATCAATGGTTGAGATTAGTGTTGGAGAGATTCAAGTTCTAATAATGGGGATAGGATGATCAAACTCCCTTGAAAGTAGAACTAATACATTGGGAATTTAATTTAATTCAAATATAATTATAACTTCTCTAAATAGAATACCATGTAAATGTCTCAAATGTTAACTTGAAAATTTGTCATAATACCTATATAGTAAAAAAATAAAATAGAATAAATTTGTCATTAAACCCCTTAAAATAATATTAAGAATAATGTATAACTAAACCATTTGTACTAAATTGAACCCATATTAAAGGAGGAGCGGTTCTGACAAAAATATCTCCCTCCAAATGAGAGGATGTCATGAAAATATTAAAAGAAACCTTTTAAATATTAATGACTTAAATGAAGAAGCCTATAATAGAAAAGGTTGAGTTTTTTTTTTTTTCTCTTAAAATCAACTCATTCCAAATAAAATACAACATGACAACAAAATAAGTGTTTCAAAGAGTCTATTTGACGATATTACTCATAACCAGTCAAATTTAGGAGTGACATAAAAAGTAAACCCTAGCAAATAAGGATATATAGTTGGTTATTCATATGTTTTGAAATACATCACAATATTTTTATGTGTGTAAGGAATTTTCAAGAAGGATGTCGAAAATAGGACACAAGTTATTAAAAGAAAAGAGATTAAAGAGTTTTATGAAAGATTTATAAGCAAAAACAATAGAAAATTGACCATGTATAAAGAAGGGCCAAGCAAGAAAATCAGTCATGGCAAAAAGGTTTTGGAGGAATCATTGCTCCAATTTTGTTATCACCCAAAGAAGGAACAAATTGCAAGAATTTGGAATTCTCCCATTGAACATGGTCCGAAAGATGACATACAATAGTTTCTCAATATCTAAGGAATAAATCAAAGTCATGGCTCAATCAACAAGAGGACCAACATCATTGGGAACTTAATTATCTTTCTAGAAATTAATAACTTTACCAATACCAATTCTCGAAATAAGGTATTGAGATACTTGATTCTAAATTTTGTAGAAACCTCTCAAAACTTAAAACATTGGATTTATTAGAGATTATGAGTTTAAGATAAGAACCTGTCTATATTTAGCTTTAATCATCTTTACTTCTAAATTTAAAAGTTTAAAAATAATTATTAAGACAATTTTATTAATAAGACGTTATTAATGTCTCTTACTTTTCTAAGACTAAAGTTATGTTGGTTTGGGGACATATACCCTTTTCCTAATAAATGAGATGATAATATTTACCATTAATTTTATCCCTCCAAATAAAGAATATACTTTTATTATCTAAATCTTCATGCTTAAATTTAAGAATATAAGCAACCTACATAGTAATAAGATAAGGATTGAAGAAAAAATTGGTGAGAGTTAACCTTGTAAGAGACAAAGAATGAAATTTTATATTAGATAAACTTTAGTTAACTTTTATATTAGAAAGTTATCAAACATCAAAATCCTAAATACTTCTAAATTCATCATTTTTAGGCGTTTCTCATACTCCAATGAACTTTTTTTTTTTTAAATTGTAGATTTTATTTTATTGACGTTTTGACTTGAATTGTAAAAAAAAATATTAAATAATTTCCACGTGATAAAAAGGAATTTTGACAACAAAAGTAAAATAATTTATTATATATATATATATATATATATAATTTAGAAATTACTCGACAAATTTACTCAATCTTTATATTTCATTGTAAGATTAATACAGTAAAACAAATATTCTATTCACAAAACAAAAAATTAAAGAGAAATGAGATTTATTTTTCTAAAACTTCTAAAAAGAATAAAACCTAATTGAAGAAATATAATACCAAATCATGTTATAAGATGAATGAGAAATCCAATATCTATCATTTACCTTTTTAAGATCAATTTCAATAATTATGTGTAAAACTAAAAAATAATTAACCAAATTATTATTATTATTATTTTCTTAAACTTTCACACCTCTTTCCTTTTAATATTTTTTCTTTCTCATCTAAAACAACCTTTACTCTCACACTTCCATTATCATCACCCTTCCTCTCATCCTCATCGCTGAAACCTTTCATTTTTTTATTGATGTTGTTCTCTTTTTATTAAAAGAACAATACCTTTTCTTTTCCACTTGCACATTAATCTTACTTGTTTAAATTAAAACATTGTTTTTTTTTTATGTATCTTGATTTTCACACTGTACATGTGATAGAAAATTATTAAATTTAACAGTATTAATTATATAAATATTTAGTCTTAAGGTATAAATTATAATAAACCCAATTATTTGATTATAAAGGAAAATCACAATATGTATATTGTCTTAAAAACAATATTTATTACCTCAAATAATTATGTGAGAGTCTTATAAATAATACAAGCCTAACATAAAATGCACCATCTCAATTTTTTCTTATACATTAATGTATTATTTTCTTCAAATTGATATTTAAATATTGAAGATGAAAATTGTTGAGACCGAACACTCACTTACTTTCATAGCATCTGATACCGGAGATAGACAGGCACACGGACGAGACACGTAGAGGAACACATCTCAAAAAGAGGGAAAAATAAAATAAAAAAGAACGCATAAATGGCATTGCGTCACTCACCATTCTTCCCTAACGCACTTCCTCTCACTCTCACTCCCAAACTCAAACCCAAAATCAACGGCAATAACCGTTTCTCCTTCTTCGTTCCTTCACTCTCTTCCACCACACTCATGGCCACTTCTCACAAGGTCTTGGTTCCAATCGCCGACGGCTCCGAGCCCATGGAGGCTGTCATCATCGTCGACGTCCTCCGCCGCGCCGGTGCTGAAGTCACTGTTGCCTCCGCCTCTACCAACCTTTCCGTCCTAGCTTGCCACGATGTTAAGATCCTTGCAGATGCCTCCGTCTCCGACGTCGCCGGAACCGCCTTTGACCTCGTCGCAATCCCTGTAACTCTCCCTCATGCTCTTGTTCATGGTTATTAGAGACTGTGTTGACCGTTGATCATCGAATTATAGACGTTTTCGGTTAATTGATTAGTTATTAGTTGTAAATTAGTATATAGCATCGTGAATTGATTCACTGCTTAATTTTTTAGATTTAACCCAAATTAGTCCGTCGTTGAGTTCATGAAGAGTGTCGTACGTGTGTGTGTGTTTGTCATTCAATCTCTAAGTATCATAATAATTTCTCATTAATTGACTATGTAAGAAAAATTTCATTGACAAAACTGAAACAGGGAATAAAAACAGTGGAACCGTGTATGGTATTGATTCGAAAAGGGTCAAAATAACAATAGTCTGTATTATGGTTTCTAAAAAAATTAAATGAAACACAACAGAATCAAGGATTGGGAATTGCTGTTGTGCATGAAGGTTCCACCTGAAGCAAAGAAAAGGTGGAATCAGGTAGCAGAGAAAAGGTGGAGTCAGGTAACAGAATGGAGAATGAGAGAGAATTATGGAATATTCTGCAGAGAGAAAACAAAGAGCAGAAAGAAGGTTCATACCAAAAGCTCCCCTTTATCCAAGATCAAAATCCCTGCACACTCTCTTTACGTGGCCTAGTGCTTTTCCTCGTGTCCTTCTTTTGCTGATCCTGGTCCACGTGTCCCATTAATTCCACTGCATTCTCTGCGCCCATTCTGCTTGTTACAATGCCCTTCCCATTAACAGCAACCTTGCCCTCAAGGTTGAATTGAGGATAAGCTTGTTGAAATTCATCCAGATCTTCCCAAGTAGCTTCCTCAAGTTCCGTAGTGTGCCACTGGACCAACACCTGATGTACTTCAATGGAATTGCGCTTTATAATTCTTTTATCCAACACTGTTATTGGACTCAAGAGAGGTCCAAACTCAGTGGTGGTCAAAGGTAGGGGTAAATATTGGTTAGAATGTATTCCCATAAACTTTTTGAGCAATGAGATGTGGAAAATAGGGTGAATCCGAGCTGTATCAGGAAGCTTTAACTTGTAAGCCACTGGACCTATCTTCTCCAGTACTTCAAATGGTCCAAAAAATCTCATGCCTAATTTTTGATTCTTTCTAAGAGCCACCGAATGTTGTCTATATGGTTGCAATTTCACTAATGCCAAATCACCAATTTGCAGATAGAATTCTCTCCTTTTCTTATTTGCCTGTATTGTCATATAATTTTGAGCCTTCATCAAGTTGGTCTTGAGTTGTTGCAACACTTTGTCTCTAGTGATTAAAGACTCTCTAATGGCAGGAAGATCTGTGGAATTGACTTCATAAGGAATGACCGAGGGTGGTTCTCTACCAAATACAGCTTTAAAGGGGCTCATTCTTATGCTGTGGTGGTAGGAAGAATTGTACCAGTATTGTGCCCAAGGAAGCATAGAGTACCACAACTTGGGATTATCAAACACAGAACACCTCAAATACATTTCCAATGTCTTGTTAAGTACCTCTGTTTGTCCGTCACTTTGGGGATGATATGCAGAGCTCATCGCCAAAGTTGTGCCTTGAGCTTTAAATAAGTGCTGTCAAAATGAACTGATAAAGATTCTATCTCTGTCCGATACAATAGTTCTTGGAAAACCATGCAGCTTTGCCACATTATTAATAAAAGCTTCTGCTACACTTTTACTAGTAAAATGGGCTTTCAAAGCAATGAAATGCGAAAACTTAGAAAGCCTATCAATGACCACCAAAATAGTAGAATAACCATGTGAAGTGGGAAAATTTGTAATGAAATCCATGGCTATGTCTTCCCAAATCTGTTGAGGTATTGGCAATGGTTGTAATAGACCATAGGGTAAAGCTTGGTCCACTTTAGCTTGTTGGCAAATACTACAATGTCGTATATAAGCCTTGATATCATCTTGCATTTTTGGCCAATAAAATTGATTGCAGATTCGGGCTATAGTCTTTGTATTTCCAGCATGACCACCCACTTTCGAGTCATGAAATTCCTGCATAATATGGTTCTTCAAATCCTTATCAGCTGGTATCATCAATCTTCCTCTTCTGAAAAGCATTCCATCTTTAACAACAAACTTGTCCATAGACAATATGCCTTGAGTATGCTGCATCATCAACTTACTTAACTCAGCATCTTGCATAGTCATCTCAGGAATCTGCTCTAACCATTTAAATTTGGATTCTGACCAGCCCAGAAAACAACTTCGAGATAAAGCATCAGCTGGTATATTCTCTCTACCAGGCTTATATTGTATAGTGAAGTCATATCCTAAAAACTTGGGTAACCACTGTTGTTGTTCAGGAGTTTGCAACTGCTGTTCTAGCAACTCTTTCAAGTTTTTCTGATCTGTTCTAATGATGAACTTGTTTCCCAGCAAATAATGTCTGAACTTAGCCAAAGCCTCTGTGATGGCATGAAATTCTCTTGTATAAGCAGACTGTTTCTGCATTCTGGGGGAAATTTTCTTGGAAAAGTAAGCAATTGGATGTTGAGATTGGCTAAGGACAACACCAATTCCAGATCCAGATGCATCAGTTTCCAATACGAACTGCTCTTTAAAGTTTGGAATGGCTAGTACAGGGGCATAAGTCATAGCATCCTTCAACTTTTCAAATGCTATAGATGCATTTTCTGTCCACTTGAATGAGTCCCTTTTTAGCAAATCTGTTAAAGGAGCAGCTATTGCAGCATAACTCTTGATAAATCGCCTGTAGTAACTGGTGAGGCCTAAAAACCTCTCAACTGTTTTACTGTTGTAGGTCTAGGCCACTTTTTTACAGCTTCTAGTTTAGAAGTTTCCATGGCTACACCTTTTCCTGACAATGTATGTCCTAACTAGTCAATTTCCTTTACTCCAAATGAACATTTTGAGAGTTTTGCATATAATTGTTGCTGCTGTAAGGTCTGCAAGACTAATTCCAAATGCAACAAATGATCCTTCCACGTGGCACTAAACACCAAAATATCATCAAAAAATACTATTACAAATTTCCTCAAATACTCTTTGAAAATCTCATTCATTAAACTTTGGAAGGAAGCCGGGGCATTAGTTAACCCAAATGGCATTACAAGCCATTCATAGTGTCCATGGTGAGTTCTGAAAGCAGTTTTATGTCTATCTTCGGGCTTCAACAGAATTTGGTGGTAATCGGATCTTAAATCTAATTTAGAAAAGAAATTGGCTCCAAATAACTCATCAATAAGTTCATCAACAGTAGGAATAGGAAATGTATCTTTAATGGTAATAGCATTAAGGGCTCTATAGTCAGTACATACCCTCCATGATCCATCCTTCTTCTTTACCAGAATGATTGGAGAAGAAAAAGGACTCTTACTGGGTTGTATTATGCCTTCATCAAGCATTCCTTGCACCAACTTTTCAATTTCTGCTTTTTGACTATGTGGGTACCGATATGGCTTCACTTTTACCGGTTAAGATCCTTTCATCAAAGGAATTGAATGATCCTGAAATCGAGGGGGTGGTAACGAGGTAGGTGTCTCGAAAACTGAACTGTAATTATGTAACAACAAAGCCAATTCTGGCTCTATATCAGGAGGTACTTCAGATAGTGGAAACTGATAAGCACTTTCACCAACAATCTGCATACTGAAAACCTCAGCTATAGAATCCATGTTAACCATTCTTCTGCTGTGATGTAAATGTGCCTGAGTAGGTGAGGAATCAATTTCCCCTTATAGAGTTATAAATTTTCCCTCATGGAAGAACTTCAATTGCAATGAATCATAATCAGCAATGTGAGACCCTATAGTTTTTAACCATTTGGCCCCCAAGATCACATCAGCTCCTGAAATAGGTAATAAAAATACAGGCAATTCAAATTTAGCCCCTTGAGCTTGAATATTGAGTTTTTTAATCATGCCTTCAACAGTCATGTAATTTCCATTTCCCACCATAACTTTGAATAGAGGAATTGGTTCTATCGCCAATTTAAGAAACTTAGCAATCCTTGGTTGCAAAAAATGATCGTAGCTACCTCCATCTACTAATATCGTGACTGGGAGAGTATTAATATGTGCAGTAAAACGAATGGTGCCAACTCCTAAGCCTCCTGTTAAAGCATTAAAGGACAAGTGAGAATTAGCTTCTAATCCATCTTCAACAGTTGCAGGATCGATAACATTCCCATTTTCAGTAGTAGTCACTGTTTCAGATTCCTCTTCTTCAGCTTGTAACATCAATAGTTGTCTGTTAGGACATCAATGATTAAATGTGAATTTCTCCTCGCAGAAATAGCATAAACCTTTTTCTCTCCTCAGTTGCATCTCAGCTGGTGTAGTTTTCTTGACATTTGAATTTCTGATTGGTGGAATTGAAGGTGTGGGTAGAAGTGGAGGTAATGATTGTTTAGGTGTAGTTTTTGCTGGATTAAAATTGGTACTAGTAGATGAAAGTGGGGAATATCTCTAACTGTAATTTGTAGAACGTTGTGGAACAACAGTAGTATACTTTTCTTCATATAATTTAGCTAATGCCACTGCTCTCAGTAGGTTAGTAGGACATTGAGCCACAACATCTCTTCTGATATCCCGATTTAAGCCACTTAAAAAACAATTCAACACAGCGACATCACTAAGACCTTCAGATCGGTTTGCTAGTGCCATAAATTTCAAATAATATTCGGAAACAGTACCAAACTGATGGAGCTTAAAGAGTTCTTCCATGGGAGAGTCGAAGGGAGATGGTCCAAAATGACTTTCCAAGGATCTCGTCAAATCTGACCACGTCTGAACGACTGACATGCTTTGCAACATTTGAAACCACGAAATTACATCTTTCTCAAAATGCATTGAAGCTCTCTCTACTCTTTCGTGGTCATGAGTACGATGATAATTGAAAAATTTCTCCGCCTTAAAGATCCATTCTAACACGGGGGTTGTGCCATCAAAGTGAGGAAAACGCAAGGAAATATTGCATACCGGTCGCGCTGATGCACTCTGTGTCACTACCAATGATGAGCCATTTGAGTTAACATCATCAAAGCACTGAGCCTGACTTTGATTCAATAAATCCAATGATTTCTACATTTGGTCCATTCGATCATTGTTTGCTGTTTGGAATTGGATAATCAATTTACGATTAGCTTTATCACGATCAGGTTGTTTCTCAATCCAACTCAATATTGAAGCGAGCTGGGCTTGCATATCTTTCATCCTAGTGTTCTCAGCCATTGACGTCAATGAAAGCACCAATGAAACAGGGAATAAAAATAGTGGAACCGTGTATGATATTGATTCGAAAAGGGTCAAAATAACAATAGTCTGTATTATGGTTTCTAAAAAAATTAAATGAAACACAATAGAATTAAGGATTGGGAATTGCTGTTGTGCATGAAGGTTCCACCTGAAGCAAAGAAAAGGTGGAGTCAGGTAACAGAATGGAGAATGAGAGAGAATTATGGAATATTCTGCAGAGAGAAAACAAAGAGCAGAGAGAAGGTTCATACCAAAAGCTCCCCTCTATCCAAGATCAAAATCCCTTAAAAGCACACTCTCTTTACGTGGCCTAGTGCTTTTCCTCGTGTCCTTCTTTTGCTGATCCTAGGCCACGTGTCCCATTAATTCCACTGCATTCTCTGCGCCCATTCTGCTTGTTACAAAAGCATCACTGTTAAACACTTTTTAGAAGGTAAGAGATAAACGCTGACCTTTAAAATCATAGGGCCTAATATGCAGTATACTAATTATTATTATTGTTATTTGTGTGCGTAGGGAGGGATACCGGGTGTTGAGAATCTGAGGGACTGTAAAGTTTTGGAAGGGTTGGTGAAGAATCATGTGGAGGAAGGACGGCTTTATGCTGCGGTGTGTGCTGCTCCTGTGGTGGTGCTTGGGCCTTGGGGTTTGCTGAATGGATTGAAGGTAAAATTTGCTTTGCAATCCACTTTGTTATGTTGTGTTGTGGGTGATGATGGTTTTGGTGACTCTGTGTGCATGGTTGTTGGACAGGCAACTTGTTTTCCTGCGTTGATGGAGAAATTGGCCTCTTACGCAGCCACTACTGTCGAGTCTAGGGTGCAAGTGGATGGCAGAGTAGTGACCAGTCGAGCGCCGGGAACTACCATGGAGTTCGCTCTTGCGCTGATTGAGCAGTTAATTGGAAAAGAGAAAGCGGATGAAGTTGCTGGTCCACTGGTGAGGATTTCTTTCGTGCCTTGATAATTCTACTTGTTCTTGAAATGCAGAGAAATGTAGCATACACCAACATATTGCTATCAGGTGACTGGTGGGAGGAATTAATTTAAATTTTATAATCATATTTGGGTTATCATATTAGATTAAAGATAAATTGATCATCATCAATGTAAAATTAAATGGTCATGATTAGTTCATATCTCCTGTCACACTATCACTTGATAGTCTGATAACCCTTTTTATATCTACAACCATGATGCTTACTTATAACTGATAATACGCTTATTCTGTAATTATCCGGGTGAATAATCTGGAATTAATATGGTTGGCAAACCCTCACTGGTACGTTTTGTAATATCTGGGAATCGAAATAGGTATGTTTTAGGTTTGGGAATTGGGATTTGAAGATAACAATTCCAGGAAAAGATTTCCATATGAACATATTTGAGGCTTTGCCAGCATCTCAAAGATTAATGTGCTGAAACAATGCAGAGAAAAATATATTAAAAACAGAAGCTGACGTGGTTTATGATTAAGGTCTTATTTTGATATAAGCATCCATAAATATTAATAGAAGAAAAAAATAAGATGGTGAAATTAATTGAGTTTCGCCCTAAAGCTAAAATCAACTCATGCACTTCAGCTTTGGGAGAATTTAAACAAGAGAGCTTCTTTAAAAGTTAAACAAGGTCTAAAACTGTAACTTTTTTCGAGCTATTTGTGGTTAATTGCAAAAGATGGACAGCCGTTTGATTGAAACATTGAGTGTTCATAATTGAATGAAGCTAGATGTGCTTTGCGCTGCTTTACCAAACCAATGTCAACATGCAGACAAGTATGTCCACTGAAATAGGGTGGGGAACTGAGTCATTGACAGTACTGAAAAAGGCAACCCATTGCTTTTGCTTACGTTATTGAAGTCTAACAATTAAGACTTTGTAGGAGAGCTCACACTCTTGGGCCCCTTCCTTCCTTCCCTGGATGGAACCAAATAAAGAAAAAACAGATTTAATCATATATAAGATTAGCTTATTGGTAATGTATGAGTGAACTATTGCACATGGGTGCATTGAGGTTTCTACTACTGAATTTTTGACATACAATAAAAATTATATTTTCTAATGCTTTATGATATCAAATCCTTGCTATGATGTAAATTTATTCCTTTTTCTCATCAGGTTTGTGTGTGATTTAACGTTCAGGTCATGCGTTCCAATCATGATGATGAACACACTTTCAAGGAGTTTAACCCAGTGCAGTGGACATTTGACAATCCACCCAGGGTGAGGTTTTGACATTTTTCCCGTAGAACTTCTGGGTATTGACAAGAATATCTCTGAAAAGAAGCTCTGTTATCATTATTTTGAATTTTTTTTGGAAGGAATGAGTATACACCCTTCAATATAAATTTTGTAAGTGGATTTGTGACTTTGACATGTACTGGTATTTGCACTTCTTTTCAGATTCTTGTACCAATTGCTAATGGTTCAGAGGAAATGGAAGCGGTGATTATCATTAATATGCTGCGAAGAGCAAAGGCAAATGTTGTGGTTGCTTCTGTTGAGAATAAACTTGAGATTGTGGCATCACGCAAAGTTAAACTGGAGGCAGATATGCTCCTTGACGAAGCTGCCAAACTTTCATATGACCTTATTGTGTTACCTGTAAGTTGGCTTAATATTTTCGTCGTAGTAGTATTGAATTAGTACATAGCATTTAGTTTGCTATATTTTCAATTTTCTACAGGGCGGACTGGGTGGTGCCCAAGCATTTGCAAACTCAGAAACCTTGGTGAATTTGCTGAAAAAACAAAGTGAATCAAACAGATATTATGGAGCAATTTGTGCATCCCCCGCTTTAGTCTTGGAGTCCCACGGTTTGCTTAAGGTATTTGTTTTCTTAGTCATCTGTGATCCTAACAAAGCAAGATTAGTAAAATAACAATAATATACGTGTAATTCTCTTAGTTGCATGTAATATGATATAAGCTCATTTGGTTTGGTTTTTTGTTAACAACTTGGTCACTTGGCCTGCAATCAGCAAGATTTAGAAAAGAATGCATGGCAAAGTGCACGTATAAAATGCCTGTGGAGTCTTCATTCGAATTATTTTATGATGTTATAAAATGCCTGCTTGTCCTAAATATTTCTTTGAACTTGATTTCCAATCTGTGGCTCTCCGATTGCACCATGGTTAATTTGAGACATGACTTTTTTTTTTCTTCAATACAGGGTAAAAAGGCCACTGCCTTTCCTGCAATGTGCAACAAGTTATCTGATCAAAGTGAAGTAGAAAACAGGGTGGTAGTTGATGGGAATCTCATTACGAGTAGAGGCCCAGGAACCTCCATTGAGTTTGCATTAGCTATTGTGGAGAAGCTGTTTGGAAGCAAGTTAGCATTAGAACTTTCCAGGGCAGTAGTGTTCGCAAACCCATAGGAATTTTGAATGCGAAGCTTTCTTGTACCTTGAGTTGAGTTGTGAATGAATAATTGAGTGTATGTCCTTGAGTTGTACCTTGAGCTGTAAAGAACGCCAAGATAAGTGGTTGTTGGTAACTTTTGATTTCTCATGTAGTTGCTTTTCGTATGTCTTGGTTATAATGCATATCTGTCTTTTTCTAAAGATTTGTATTAGAGTCTAATAAAAAAAAAGTAGTTTCCCTTTTGGTAACTGAAATTGAGTAACAAAGGTGAGTTTGTAACTTACATTTGTGGCACCAGATGTTTCCCCGCCCATGATATGAACTAACGTTGAATATTCAATCCACCCATGATGTTTTGATAGATGTCGTTATGTTCTGTTTATAATTGTCTACAGCTATATTTTCGTGATACATCTGTTACTTTCCGGTTGTTGGCAAGCGAACTCGTTTCAACAATGAAGAAAAGAACTTGAATGATCATTTTTATTTTCTATCATTGTCGTTTGAGTTAATAGTTAAAATATACACTATTTGGCTTCGAATAAAAAGCACTTCGTGCAAATAGTTGCATTACATGAAGGAGATCATAACAGCATGGAGAATTCAGAAGAATCAGAAAAAAATATTGATAGTCTTTTCTTATTGGTACAAATAGTGATACAATTTTGCTGCATGTAAATATGAGCTATGCACTATCATTGGTGAAAAAAAATTAAAATTCGTCGAAGGACGGTAAGGAGTGCCTAATACTATTGTAAATCTGATCTATTTTCTTGTCTGGTAGCATCTAAACCAAAGAATAAAATAGCTAAGCACTCTATACCCCACTATGAAACTCAACATTACAGGCAAGTTGCTCCATTTTTGTGAATCTTTTAAACCTTGCTGTCTTAGGAATTCAACTCCATGTAGTACGCATTTTCCTTTGCTAATTTCTAAGCATCTCGTTTTCCCTTGCTCTCCTCCGTACTCATTTATCATAAGGCACTCAAATGGATACTTGAATAGGCTCAAATAGTGCATAAAAATCCAGTAACTTGGTATTTTTTCCTCAGATATGAAATACCCTGAGAATAGAAAGAAAGACCCCATTAGACCTGCAATCACTGAGGTTCCCAGGATGAAATTTGGTACCAGAGCGCTGAAACAAGCCACAAGAGAATTCGACATGAGTAGAACCAACCAAACCACTAAGGAGAAATAAAGGAAACCATCAATATCTTTCCTTAATCCTACAAGCCAATAAACTGGAGTGGAGTACAAAAGACCAACCAACAGAAGGAAGGGAAGGAACACAAGGGTATTAGCTAAAACATAGGAAGAAACTCTATAAGCCCCTCCAGAGGTCTCTCTCATAAACGTTCTTCTCTCATCCAAGAAAATAGGCAAGCCTTCTGTTGTTGATGATAGCAAAAAGGTAAGACTGAAAGCAAAGAACCCACTTCTTGTTTGCAATGCCACATGACTTTGTTGATTGCCAACATTGAAAAATATGCTCCCCAGGACAAAGCCAGCTACTAAGGCCTGTATGATTCTGGTGACAAATAGTTGTTTGGTTCTGAATATGTTGCAGCAAAATCTTTGTCCTAGGATTGAAATCTCTTCCATAGGAGAATTTGAATATGTTAGTGCGTTTAATTTGACAACCTTCGAGTAATGCATCCTCATTTTATGATCTTGGCTCTCTTTGAGCAGATACTGGTTGTCCCCTGATTCTGAAATATGTATCACCAAGCTTTCGATGACATCAAGTGCAAACTCAAGGACATTGACATGGTCGGGAATGTGGTGCCCAGCTAACTTAAGCCTAGCCTCAAGAAGATTCAATGACCCATTATGCATCACAAATCCATCAGACAGCAAAATGAGGCTATCAAATAGCTCTAAGATTCGGAAACCAGGTTGGTGGATAGTTAAGATAATTGTCTTACCTTGATTAAACGCAACAAGTCTAAGCAACGAGACAACATTAAGAGCTGATGCTGAATCCAAACCCGAAGTTGGTTCATCAATCAAAATAACTGCAGGGTCATGAACCAAGTCCACACCAATGGAAACTCTACGCTTTTCCCCTCCGGATATGCCATGGTCTGATCCACCTCCAATTCTTGAATCTGCAATATGGTCCAACCCAAGCTCTTTCATCAACTCCTCAACTCTGATGGCAGCAACTTTTCTTCCTCCAGGAAGTCTCAACATGGCACTATACATGAGTGTCTCTCTAACAGTCAGTGAAGGGAACAAAGCATCATCTTGGGTCACATACCCTGATGTTCTTCTGAACCGGTTCACATCCATAGGCCGATGATTGACAAGCACATGGCCAGAAACTTTATTACATGGGGTAATTCTCCCTGCAAGAATCTCAAGCAGTGTGGTTTTTCCAGCTCCACTTGGGCCAGCAATAGCAGTCAGCTCCCCTGGCCTTGCCTCACAATTCACATCCTTCAAAATGAACTTAACACCTCTCCCTGGACTGGAACCAAAGCAAAGATTTCTATATTCATCAAGTTGGCTGCACAACCTGTATGACAAGTTCTTGGTTTCTATTCTGTATGGAGTTTGTCTGTTGCATGAGCTTGGCCTGAATGGTGACCCCATTGTGTGTGTCTATGCATGAAAAGTGAGTGAAGAAAGGCATGTATTGGCTAAGTTATGTGGAGAAGAGGAAATAGAGAGCAAGATAGGGAGATGAACTAACACACCAAACCGTGCCAGTTATAGGTTTTGTAATGCAAATGGCGTGTGACTGTTTGGAAAGGGGTTTGACTTGGTGCACTCTTATATTTCTATTGGGGTGTGTGGCATTTGGAAATAGTTTGGCTGAGTTATAGGGCTTCAAGAAAGCTAAAGAAATAAAGAAAGTATGCATAGAAAGTTTTATTCTGGTGAGCTGAACATTGACTGTGCTGTCTCAGTGTTTGTTTGGTTGCCCCACCATCTTCCCCTTGGTTGGTGGAAGATCAAAATTATCAAATTCAGGTTTACAAGTTAACTTTAATTCTATTTGCATTTTATTAGGTTTCATGGATTGATGATTCTTCTAAGTCATCAATAGGTATACTCCTAATCAAATAGAAAAAGAGCATTGTAATTTTTCTTAAAAGAATAAAAATGTTGACTATGAATTGCATCTCAACTTTTTTTTTTTTTTTTCATCAACTAAAGCTCCAGAGTTTTCTCAATTAATATTTAAACTTTATCTTTTTCATATTATTTTATCTACCACAATTAATTTTATATTTTTAAATTATGAGAGCTATATCTTATTTCCAGAAGTAAAATGAACGAGGAAACATCTCTTAATATATTATTTAGTTTTTTATATTATTAAAAGTTGAACAAATTTTTTTTATCTGTGATGAAGTTCTCCTTTTCTGTTTTTTTTTTCATCCAGACATACTTTTTAAAGTGTTTTATTTTAAATTTCGTTAAATGTCAGAACAATATTTTGGTGTGATTTATACAATTTTTTCTTTTCTTAAAAATATTAAATAATTATAACATTTTGAATAAAAAAGATAAATAAGGAAACGCTTCTATTAATAAAATAAATAAATATTGTTCAAGATGTGTGGTCGAGTTTTGATGTTTGCTTTAGAAATTATTAAGCAAGACATAACAATGTCAATATTTTTTCAAAGGGTGGAAAAAAATAGTTGAATCAAAGTTAAGAAATTTAATAAAATAATATTTTTATAATAAAATAAATTTATTAATAATAATATTTTTTATAAAAAATAATAAAAATTATTATTATTATTATTATAATTATCATAAATTATAATAAAAATTATACATATAAAATATATTAAAAAATAAAAAATTAATAATTATTAAAATAAAATAAAAATATAATAAGATAATTATTATTTAAAATTAACATAATTAATATTTGATATAAAAAATAAAAATAACAATATATTATATTTTTTATAAAAAATTATATTAAAAATATTTGATCTTAACTATTTTTTTTAATCAAATGATTCAATCTAAAAACTCAACTATTTTATTAATTTTATCTTCATTTTTTTAATTTTATTACAATTTAATTAAAAATCAATTATTTAAAAATAATATATCTAATCCAATTTAATCCTATTAAACGATTATCTTATCCAATTCTCGATCGGGTTGATGATCTTATTTGATTTTCAAATGATTAACACATACTTAATCTTTTTTAAATTTTTGAATGAATTAAGAATGTGTCATTTATGAACAATAGTATAAAATTTCATATTTACATGAACCAATTAAAAATGTTGTATATATATAAATTTATAAATAATATATATAATTAGAGACTTCTTTTTTTGCTATTATTTTTTATATTTTAATTATTAAAATTAATTATTATTTACACTACTAAATTGTTAAAAAATTATGCAAAGATAGAAAATAAACTTTTAATTCCTATTATATATATAATTAAAAATGCATAAAGGACATGACGCGAGAGAACTAATTTAATAATTTTTTTACATATGAAGTTTACATTGAAAATCTATATCCCTTATAAAAACTAAATTACGTGTTAAACTAATTAATCTTATTACACATAATTTTATTTTACATACATAAGGCCCATTTTCTAATTTTTTTTAAGAACATGAGAATGAAACAATTACCAAATGCTTTTGCTATTTATTCTTATTATTATGTTTTACAATAATAAGAGTTCCTTGAATTGAGGTAGAATGGGAGAAATTGTATTTGTTCTTAGAACGAATGAAATTGAAACCTAAGTTGTGCTTTTAAGTTGAACAAAGATAATCTCTTTAAAAAAAGAAATCATACATTTCTTTGTAACAAGTGTTCTTTAAAATAGAAAACAAATGATAGGATGAGATTTTTTTTTTTAATATTATATAAAATAATAATATATTAAAGATAAATAATAAATTTATAAAAATATTTTAATTTTTAATATTTAGGGCTATGTGATGGATAAAAAATATTATTATTATTTTTTATTACAATAATTATTAATATTTTCTGTTTGCGATTTTAATTATGGATGTGTTAGAAAATGATTTTATATGCAGAGATAAGGTATTCTATTGAAGTAGATATTTTACACCATTTAGTTGTGCAACACATTCTAGAACCATCCCTCTATAAAACTGAAACGAAGAAAACCCTAAACCCTCTTCATTTCACTCTCATTTCCTTCTTCTCCCAGAACCCATCTCTCTCTTTGTTTCCAGCCATGGCCACTCAGATCTTCTCTCGTGTCTTCCCCAAAACCCTAACCCTAGTCCCCTTCCTCTCCCGCTCCCTCACCTCCAATCCTTCTTCTCTCTCCGCCCTCTCCTTCCTCCGTCGCATCTCTGTCGCCTCCAACCCCTCCCTCCGCCGTCTTCTCCTCCCCGCCACCCCTTCCCTCCGTGCTCTCTCCACTCGCGCCACCACCTCCTCCCTCAACGACCCCAACCCCAACTGGTCCAACCGGCCCCCCAAAGAAACCATCTTGCTCGATGGCTGCGACTTCGAACACTGGCTCGTCGTCATGGAGAAGCCCGAAGGTGACCCCACTCGCGACGAAATCATCGATAGCTACATCAAAACCTTGGCCAAGGTTATCGGAAGGTGACAATAAAAACAATAATCACTCTTGTTCTTAATTTGATGAATGTTTTATCTCTATTTTGTGTTTTATTAATCGTGCAATTTTTTATTTTAGATTATCACTATTGTATGCCATAATAGAATAGAAGAAAAAGGTACCACTTTGTTTTGTGGATATGGTAAATTGTAATCAAGTTACGGAATGTTTATTTTTATAACAAGATGAACGTAAATGAGGTATGTAGAAGTATTGGAGTTGAACACGTGCGTTTCCTACATGGTTGCGTATTTTGCGCTGATTATTTGGAGTGTTTGGTTTGGCTTTTGCAGTGAAGAGGAAGCTAGGATGAAGATATATTCGGTTTCCACTAGGCATTACTTTGCGTTTGGGGCGCTTGTGTCTGAAGAGCTTTCTTACAAGATTAAAGGTATATGTGGTTTTGAAGCTTCAGCAGAGTTTTGTTTGTGAGGAGGATTTCTAAGTTTTTGGGTTTTTGGTATTGCAGAATTACCTGGAGTTCGGTGGGTGCTTCCTGATTCGTATTTGAATGTTAAGGAAAAGGATTATGGAGGTAAATTCTCTTGTTCTGTTGCCTGGCTTTTTGTGTACGTTTGATATGGTTTTGACTCTCTGCCTTTAGTCACATAGAAAAAAGTAGCATGTTGATGGCTCCTTGAACGTTTTAGGATAGCATAAGCATAGCGTGGCATATTATGATTGTTTTAGGATGTTCTGCCCCCTTTCTTTTCCGATAAATGCACCATAACCTTGTGCTCTGTGAACTTTTCCTCTTTCCTTGATCAGGTGAGCCCTTTATTAACGGGCAAGCGGTTCCTTATGATCCCAAGTATCATGAAGAGTGGGTTAGAAATAATGCCAGGGCAAATGAGAGAAATAGGCGCAATGACCGGCCTCGCAATGCTGACAGGTCAAGGAACTTTGAGAGGAGGAGGGAAAATGTTGTCAACAGAGACATGCAGGGTAGGCCCCCTATGCCAAATCCTGGTCCTAATATGAGTGGTGCTCCTCCAAGCAATGCAGGAGGGTTCCCTCCACACAATGCAGGTGGATATGCACCTCCAGGCAATCAGGGTGGATATGCACCTCCTAACAACCAGGGTGGATATGCGCCTCCAAACAATCAGGGTGGATATGCACCTCCAAACACTCAGGGTGGATATGCACCTCCAAACACTCAGGGTGGATATGCACCTCCTAACAATCAGGGTGGGTATGCTGCTCCTAACAACCCAGGTGGATATGCTGCTCCTAACCACCCAGGTCCCTCTAACAATGCGGGCGGTGGTTACCCTCCTCCTCCTAACATGGGTGGTGGCTATGGTCCAGGAGGTGGAGCATTTCAACCAAATGCAGGAGGATGGTCAAACAATGCTCCCAATAGAGACACGCCAAGTAGGGATATGGGAGGAGCACCTGGTGGGAACCCATACTCTGGGTGAGATCACTGCTGATTTTTCTAGCCTATGTAGATACTGAAGAATTGTGACAACATAGAGTATATGTCATGTTTTCCAACGAATTAGAATTTATTTTTCTTTATTATTTCATAATGAACCTTCATGTTGTGTACCTGAAGTTCACAATTTTTGGTGGCTAGATTCGAACAATTGGCTTGTGGTGTTGGCTGTCTAATTTGTTTAATGATTAATGTTGTCTTACAACCTATGTAACTGTCCGAAATAACAATATATAGGTTTATTAATTTCATGCTATTAGAAGCACTATTGCGTAAAATGAAATGAAATTGGTCTGGAAGGAAATTCAACCGAATACCCAGATATGAAGGCAGCTTGGAATTGAATGATATTCCGAAGCCTTCGGGTGTGCAGTAAAAGCACCCCCACGTTCGAACTAAATAAATCGTTGCGTAAACAAGAGATTGATAGGAAAAATATGCTTTACAGTGAGATGAATTTTTGGTGGTTAAACGAAAACTGATTCTGACTGGGTGGTTCAAGATTAGAAATTTAGAATGAAGAATTAATGGTCTTTTAGTTTATTATATGTAAATTTTTAAAATAGTATATTTGAAATAAAAAGGACCAAGAACTAAATTATAATTTCATTTTCCAAAAGAAAAACTAAACTCTTACATGTTTTTATGCAAATAACCGATTAAACATAAAGTAATAATTTTGTTTTATGCATAAAACCGATTTAACATAAAGTAATATTTTTGTAAGTAAAGCGTGCAAACAGATTTTGAAAACAAGAGAGTAAATATTTTATTAATTTTTTAATTAGTCACCTTATTTCCTAAACCCTGTTCCGACCACTGTGGCGCGCGTTCACTTTCCGGCGGCGGTTTCTGGTCACTGCATCAGAAAGGAAGAAGAAAGAGAAGATGGTTGTGATTTCTGGACCCACCGGTTCCGGCTAGAGCCGCCTAGAATTGAAACTTGCTAAGCGCCTCAACGGCGAAATCGTCAGTGCAGACTCCGTCTAGGTAATAATATATAATACACAAACAAGCATTTTTCATGAGTAGTTATGCATACGAGACAAGGTTGATTTTTCATGAAAATGCTATTGATATGGGAACGATATTTGTTTTTGAATTAGGAATTATATATCTGAATTTAAGTGAACGAGTATTTGCGTTGTGTTTAATTCGAATAAATCATCTGGTAAAAGTTTTTTACTTTGTCTTCCCATCATATGTTGTCATGTAATTTTGAAAAATATTGATTTCTAGAATAATTACTTTAAAAGTTGTATCTAAGGTGATTTGTTATTGGTTTCATAGTGCATGAAAATAATGTTCTTTCTTTATTCAAGTGACTTCATTGGCTAGTATTGTACCACAGGTATATCGAGGGCTTGATGTTGAATCTGCAAAGCCTTCCCCAAATGAAAAAAAAGGTGCGTGTGTGTGATTGTGACATAACGCATGCTTCACGTTAGTCTATGTTATAAGTTTTTGAATTTCTTCTTTTGCTTGAGCAATCATTTTTGGAACCTTTGATTTTAGTTTATTTAATTTTTGGTTTGTTTCCTTTTTCTTGTTAGGAGGTACTGCATCATCTCATCTGGTTGACATACTGCACCCATCTGAAGGTGTGTTCTATGTTGGACTGAGCTATATTTTTAATGAATAAATAAATTCATAATACACAATTATATCTGTATCTTCTATGAAGCATGCTCTTTGATCTGGACACCGAATACTGCTGCTAATATCTAAATATCGGACACTGAGATGTTACATAACAAATGAAATGAAATATGGGAAACATAAGAACATATAAAATATCTAAATTAATAAACAACATTTATGTATTCTATTATATTCAGCGTTTGTCCAAGACGGTGAGCCTTACAAGAAAATATTAGGGATATTAATTTTTTTACAATGTAAGCACTTGATATCTTTACAAAAAAACCTCAAAGTAGAAGATTAATTATATCTTTCAACAAAGGTATAGTCAACTTCTGAAACCAGCATGTTAAGTTTTACAATTTTCCATGATAACAAATCTAGCAAAAAAAAAGTTGAGAATTTTTTAATAACTTATTATATTTAAGATGACTTTTCTCAAAGTTAAAAAATTCTTTTTCTGAATACGTGCGTCTCCATTCATACAGAGGTGTTGGACACCTAACGAGATTTGTTTGAAAATGTTTTTGACACTAACACACTTCAGGCGTTTGTGCTGCATAGTTTCGTGTTGATATTTCTGTTATTGAAACTTTGAAGAACTGTCATTTTCAATAATTTAAACTAACTATTATTTATCAGACTATTCTGTTGGGCAGTTTTTTGAGGAGGCAAGGCAAGCTACTAGATGTATTCTTGACAATGGCCGTGTTCCCGTAGTTTTTGGAGGCAATGGATTGTATTTAAGATGGTATGTCTTCTACAATTACCTATTTGTTGTTGTCAACAACCTATTCTTTGGAATTGGACTCCTAAATTGTTGCATTGTGGTTGTATCATATATCTGTTATAAGTTAACAAGAAACATAAATGGGAAATGAAATCCACTTGTCTTTTTTGTTTCCACAACCTGCTAAGGATGTCATTCATTTCATTAGTTATCTCACAGCTATTTATATCCTTAACAAAGAAAGAAGGAAATAGGGGTGGGAGTAGCATTGTTGGGCATTAAAGAATCTTTAATGAAGATAATGAAAATAATCAAATATCAGGAAAGAAGGGATGCAGACTTGGTTTTCTGAGTGTTTCACTGTTGCATAATTTCTTGAAGGATGTGAAATATACTTGCAATATGTTATGCTAATTTTCTACTTATTTTTCATGTGCTTTTTACACGGGGATAAGCAACGACAAGTCCCATTTGTTTGGCTTTTTGGATATTGTAAACTTCTATCAAATGAAGGAAGCTGTATATGGATCCATTGTATGAATTATCAATGTTTCATCTCACATTATTATTGTGTTTATTTTTCTTTATGTAGCTGTTGAGTAATGCGGGACACTATAACTATGAGTTATTTTGCATTTTTAAATATAAGGTTCATATATGGAAAGCCAGATGTACCTAAATCAAGAATAAGCTGATCTACAGAGGAATGAAGACTGGGATGCAACTGTGCAGTTGGTGGTAAAAGTAGGTGATCCAAAGGCTCAATTTCTAGCAGTGAATGATTGGTACCAATTACGGTGTAGCCTAGAGATTATTAAGGTATGCTTGCAATTTTTTGAAGTTACTGATAGTCTCGTGCAACTCTAAATTCTATCCTGGCTACTAAACTTACTGAAAGATTGAAGTAAACTCTCTTTCATTTGTTGAACATTGGTGTTAATATGGATACCAACACCATAGTGAAAATATCCAAAATTTCATATTTTTAGTAATATGTTGTAGTGCTATTATCTCTTTTTAAATGAACTTCATTGTAACCAACTGAGTATACCTATATTTTTTGTGGATATATAGGTGAAATCCATGATTTCCATGTCTTGCTGCATTGTCAGAAATATGTTTTTAAATTCACCATTTATGTATATTTCTTTGGAATGGCAGTCTAGTGGACCACCTCCTTCTGCATTTCGGGTGCCATATGATTCTTTCAGGGAACAGGGTGAATATGGTGTTGCTGAGGGTTCTGAGTCGTCTGATATGAACACTTACGGTGATGCAATGGAAGAAACCATCTTGTCAGAGTTAGACTATGAGTTTATATGCTTTTTCCTTTCTAGTCATGGACTTGACCTCTATAAATCAATTGATTATCAGTGTGAAGATATGCTTTTAGGTACATCCTGAACAAGAAACACTCAATTTATATATGAATCCCCTACATTTTGTTGAACATTCTTCTCTACCCGTATGCATTGGTACATGGCATCCCTGTTTGTATTTTGTTTCATAACGATACATGCCAAGCTCTGTGTCAATAATCGATAAATATTTAATGGCAATAAATCTCTTAGTTCTATTCAAATGCAGTAAGGGACGGAATTTTGTGCAGAGGCGCAATGGCTTCTTGATGAGGGTCTTCATCCAAACTCCAATTGTGCAACTACCACAATTTGTTACATTACAGACAAGTATACATTTATACTGTCACCATCATAAAATTTTAAATGATGAAATATAACTGTATATTGTCTACCACAAAAAGTTCTTTATGCTATAAGAAACAGTTTTGGTTGAAATCAGTAGTAGAATATAACACCATTATCCCTTTCTTAATATTTCAAGTATGATATAAAATTAGAGTATTATATTAAACCATTAGGGATGTAAAATATTTAACGGCCTATAGAACTTGTGTACTAAGTTGATCATTATATTTCTATATAAATAGTTGTAATGAATTTACTCATATTTTGTATCCATGATTCACTAATTTCAGGCCATGGAGTAGATGCAGTGAGCAAGAGGGTCAGAGTTCTGTTGCAGAATTTTACAAATTCTTGTTTGAATTTCAGAAAGCATCACGGTAATGCATTTTGTTTTTTAATAAGATAAAGTAGCAGAGCATTTTTAGTTTTCCTATTCACTTAAAATGTTCTGTATAATTAATCTTTTTTTCCTTTAAACAATTTTGGTTCGAGTAAATCTGTGTTCACTGAATGTTTTTACTGTCAAAACGTTATCCTATAATGCATATGTTTACTTTTTCTTATTTTTTCCTGGTGGCTGTTCTTCGGTATGGTTTGTTAATTAAAACTTTGTTGTTGTAAAGTTGGATTAAATGAGAAATTTAGAATAAAAAATACATAGTATGTTCTTTCATTGCATTTGGGAACTTTTAAGACCATGATAGGATCCTCTCTGTCGTGTCCTTAACTATTTGAGGTCACTTGGACCAACAAGTGAAATGTGCAAGAGGAAAAGCACAGCTTCCGTCCTGAATGAAGGCTGCCTCTTCTAGGAATTTTTCCATGCTAGTTCTTTCCAAATCTTTTAATATGGATCAAAGTCTCCAAAACTTTATTTGGGCTTTGCTGTTGATGTTTTGAATATTGGTGATGTAGTCATTCTTTTCTTTAAGGGTATCAATATTACTCTAGATTGCCTTCAGTATTTATACACCTGCTTACTCCTAGTATAATTGATTTTTTTCCTCCTCATAAACTAAAAAAAGAATTAAATTTCAAGTTCAACACGCAGAGCAAGTTATACCATAGTACCATGATATTATCTAAAGAGATGTTCAGCTTAAAATATGTTCTGTAAGAAAACACAACTATCCTTCATGAATTTTCAAATTCTGTTAATATTGAATTTTGATAACAATTTTTGAGCAAGTTGTTTGTTCGCATGTTTAGATGTTCTATTTGCTTGTCCTGTGTGTATGCTGTTAATTAGTATTCTGTATACGTGACTGTTTAAAAGCTTTCCTTAGCCGGCTTTAATCTATTACAGGTCAGGGATGGTGGCTTGTGCTTTTCCATTCTATTTGCGTGGAACTTCTTGTTAAACTATAGAAAATATGTGGGTAAACCTGTGTGTCCCCCTCTTGAAGAATTCTCTCATATATATATATATATATATATTTAATACAAACTAATATTCTGTCCCTTTCCCTTTAAATTAGCTTACAGTCATATACAATTAATACAATTACCCAATTGCAATATATCTTAATAAAAGAGAGTTACTCTACTGCAATATATCCTAATAAAAGAGAATAACAATTACAATTGGTTTTGATGACTAAATAATTTGGCAATCAAAGCTGACAGATTACGTAATTAACTCCGTTGACACATGTTTCTATATCTTAGGCTATTACTCTGATGTGGTTGAGGTAGATTGTTACCATCCTTTATACCCACCCAGAAAAGACATGCTGGCATGTTGAAATTATTTCATCAGGAAAAAACCTACAGTACTTTAGTTCTATCTCACAATGCATCACAATGTTATCATCCTCTGCTGTTGTTGGTATTTTGTTTCCACTGGACTTCATATTTATTTGGTCTGTAGATGCTTGTCATTGTCATGTTTTCGTGCTATTTAGCAGCAGCGTAATTCAGTTATTTAACAAGTTATTTCTTATACTTTCTGCAGAAATTTTGCAAAAAGGCAGTTGACATGGTTTCGTAATGAAAATATATACCAGTGGCTTGATGCTTCTAAACCTCTGGTATAACCTTGTGAACATATGTTTCTTTTGTTATTTCACATTATTAATACTACTCTAAAGCTAACAACTGTAATACTAACAATGAAACAGTAACGAAGCGGGGAAGATTCATGATCTATTAATGGAAATGAGGGAAAATATAGGGACAATGAAATTTCGTAAAAGCAGTACTCTGCAACACAATAACGGAATTGGTTCTCAAAAAGAGAGACTAAGTGTGGGACAGGGAAAACTGAATCAAAGAGATTCCAATAACACCATTTACACCCTCTCACTAAACGGTTATTGCATTTATACTAGCGAATGCCTTATCCGAAATCCTTCAACCTTGTGCTTACGCTCTTGGATAGTGGGCCTTTGCCTCTCATCATGTTTTCTGTGCCTCACACCATGTGTCTATCCTTGATTATTCCCTCCGGTCCCACGCATGGGTTAATCTCATGGGCCTTTGCATCCATTTTCCTTACAATTTTCCCTCCATCGAAATTGACCTTGTCCTCAAGGTGGAAGTGAGGATAAGGTTGAGCAAGCACCGAATTATCTTCCTAAGTAGCATCCTCGGCTAAACCATCTTCCCACTGATCCAACGATTGTGGAACTGGCTGATTCCCTTTGAGTATCACATGAGACTTCAAGACAACAATAGTTTGAATGACAGGAGATAAATTTGAGTCAGAAATTGGCAAGGGCACATAAGGTTATCATGGTCTCCACGATACAATTTAAGCTGAGAAACATGGAATATTGGATGAATTCTAGCTGAATTTGGAAGCTTTAATTTATTAGCAACCTTCCCTACTTTTTGCATGACTTCAAAGGGACCAAAATATCTTAGGCCAAGTTTTTGATTCTTCCTCAGAGCTAATGAATGTTGTTAATATGGTTGTAATTGAACCAACACCAAATCACGACGTCAAATTGCACATCTTGTCTATTTTTATCCACATGCTTCTTTTGAATTTGTTGTGCCCTTTACAACTGGGGAGGATCACGACCATACATAGCTTTAAAGAGTATCATGCCAACACTTATATGATAACTGTGTTATACCAATATTCTGCCTAGGAAAGAAACTTGGACCATTCTTTTGGAGAGTCAAAAGTGAAACATCTGAAATACAATTCCAAACACTTGTTGAGAACCTCAGATTAACCATTCGATTGAGGGTGATATGCAGATGACATTTTCAATGTTGTGCCACTGAGTTGTCACCAATATTTCCAAAACTGACTGATGAACACTTTATCTCTATCAAAGGCAATGGACATGGGAAATCCATGTAATTTCACTATACTTTTAACAAAAATCTTAGCTACCACTTTGCTAGTATAGTTCGTCTTCAATGCCATGAAATGAGCTGCCTTAAACAATTTATCAACCACAACATAGATCCTAGTGAACCCCTGACCCAAATTGTATCATGAATAGGTAAGGGTTGTAACAAACCTAAAGATAAAGTAGTAGCAACTTTAGCCTGTTGACAACTCAAACATTGTTGAACAAAAGACTTGTTGAATATAGGGAAAAACTGTATAGGGTTAATTTCCCTTATGTATTTACCACACATAGGGCAGTGTATTTATAATAAAGAAAGGTACTCCTCAAAAGAGTAACAGAATACAAATAGAGTAAATAAAAAGATATTATTTGATATTGTGATTAACAATATCTAACAATATCTCAACAATATCAAACAATATCAACTAATATCTAATCATATCTAACACTCCCCCTCAAGCTGGAGCATACAAATCGTATGTGCCAAGCTTGGTACAAAGATAATCCATCCTAGGTCCCAGTAAAGACTTAGTGAAAATATACTGCTAATTGATCACATGAGTTAACGAACTCGGTCTTGATGTCTCCGGACATAATCTTTTCCCGAATAAAATGGCGAGTCAATCTCAATGTGTTTAGTCCTCTCATGAAAGACGGGATTAGAGCTTATATGGAGAGCAGCCTGATTGTCACACACTAGTGTCATTTGAGTGACATCTCCAAATTGTAGCTCTTTAAGCAATTGCTTGAGCCAAATAAGTTCACGAGTAGGCTGAGGCCATAGCTCTATACTCGCTACGCACTTGGATCTTGCCACAACACTTTGTTTCTTACTTTTCCATGAGATCAAGTTACCACCAATGGAAACACAATACCCGGATGTAGATCTTCTATCGGAGGGAGATCCTGCCCAATCGGCATCCGAATAGCGAGACAACTCTTGTATGATTATGGGAGTCATACACCAAACCTTTTCCAGGAGACTTTTTGATGTACTTCAATATACGGATGACTGCATTCCAATGATCTTGACAAGGAGAATTGAGGAATTGACTCACCACACCGACTGCAAAGGAAATGTCGGGCGAGTAAGCTGTAAGATAATTTAATTTTCCAACTAATCTTCTATACTGTTCGAGGATCCGACATTGGCTCCCCCGATTTGGCAAGAGTTTGGTATTAGGATCCATGGGTGTGTCAACGGGCTTTGAATTCATCAACCCGAGTTTCCTCCAAAATATCCAATGCATACTTTCTTTGAGATATAACAATGCCATCGGTAGATTGTGCTACCTCAATACCCAAGAAATATCCGAGTTTGCCAAGATCTTTGGTTTGAAAATGGTGGCAAAGGTGTTGTTTCATGCGAGAGATGCCATGATGGTCACTA